CCCCCCCCATAAAAAGCCTTTCGGTCTTTCGGCCCTTCTTCCCTCTTCCTCATATATATCCAATCTATTTCCAATCTTAAAAAGTGTCTCATTCCTCAGAGCCAGAAACTTTATTAAAGTGTCTCATTCCTCAGAGTCTGAAACTTTAGACAATTAAAGCAAATGAAAAAAGGTTTCGACATTTTGGACGTTTATGATTAATAGATGTCGTAAACCGTTGGTTTAGAAAAGAGGTGTTAAATTAAATTTATCAAATTTAGATTCTTGGATACAATTTTTCGTTTAAATATGTCAAAATTTTGAAATGTTGATCATTTTATGTTACTGGTTTTGTCAAAAATTAAAAAACTTGATATATTATTAAAGAAAAACCAATATGATTCATTTTTGAATAAACGTCTTTGTACCTGTAATCTGAAAATAAATCTTAAATATATCAAAATAATCGATTTTTATATATTTTTTCCTCTTTTCAAGTTTTGTAAAGAGGAAAATTAGTTATCAAATAAGATTTGTCAAATTGTACTGTCTTTAGTTAGAGGCTGTATTATTTCCCTTGAGACCCCCCCCCCCCCTCCAACCGTTTTATTCTAAAAGTTTTATTTTGATTGGTGTTTTATCGAAACTGAAAACTGAAGTTTACCAGATCATCCCTCAGTCGAGAACAAAAATATACAGTGGGAGGATACAACTTTAATAAAGATAATGAATAGGGAAGATGCAACTATTATGTAGATAGTGAATAGGGAAGATGCAACTATTATGTAGATAATTAATAAGGAGGATGCAACTCTAAAATTTAGATAATGCATAGAAAAGATGAAAAATTTATGAAGATAAGGGCTAGAATATAGAAAGATTCAACTTTATAATTAACTGTGAATAGGAAGGATGCAACTTTAATAAAGATAATTAATAGGGAGAATGCAATTATAAAATTAATAATGAATAGTCCGGTGGGTTGCATCTTTAATCCAGATAATGAAAAGGGCGGAAAATGCAATGTTAAAACCGATAATGAATAGGAAGGATGCAACTACATAATAAATTATGAATAGAAAGGATGCAACTTTAATGTAGAAAATGAATAAGAATGATGCAACTATAAATTAGATAGATATTTAAGACAGAAATAGAATCAAGGATGCAACTATATATATGAAATGAATAATGATGTAAGATGTATAAACAGAAAATGAATAAAGAGGATGCAACTTTAGAGCAGGAAGTAAATCTACAGAAAAGATGAAACTCTTAAATAGATAGTAAGTGTGTCCACAGACTCAGACAGAGGATGCAATTGTGAAATATACTTAATCCAATTTGTTAATAATGTTAATAATGAAAGTACAGGAAAGATGCTACTATAACTAGATTCAAACATAGAGAGAACAGTTTCAAAAAACAAATAACGCTTGTAAAAATAATAAATTAAAAAACCATCCATAGAAAATTATTCTACACATTCTTTAATTATTTATTCTATTTTTAATCTATTAGTTCTTAATGGAAAATAAGTTTTTACCATCAAAAATTAATTAAAATTATCTTTTTACTTAAAATATGATATTCATGATGGTAAACAGGACTTTTTTTGCTGTTTGAAAATTGAATATTTAAGTAAAACATTTTTAATTTTATGTTTAATTCATTTGTCATAAGTTTTGATTTAACTTTATTTGTATGTCGAATTTGAAATGTTACTGGTATTAATCGTAAGAGTAAATGAACATTTGATGTAAATTTGTGGTTTCATGCTAATTAAAAACATTAAAGCTAAATTAGGCAATTAAATGTTTAATATTTTAAACTATTCAAAATATCAAATGTCAGTTTTTTTGCACAAACAATGCAAAGTTTTAGGTTTATTGGGTTCAAACACATTTTAATTGAAAATTGCAACAACCCGGCTCTGGCTCCAAATCGGCGATATTTAATTGCTTGCTAATGTATAATTTTAAGAAATATTCGTACAAAAACTGTGCTAATATTATATTGAAAATAAACAGTGCAAATTCTAAGAAGTAAGAAAGATTTTTAAAAGCTTTTCATCAGGCGTCTAAAAATATGCAAAATACTTTTAGGGGTAAAAAATAAAACTTATATTGTAGAAACTGTGTTTTGCAATATGTATCTCCTCTAAAATTACAAAGCTATGCAGCTTAGAAAGAGTATTCGGGCTTTCAATGGTTTAAGAGAAAAAAAAATTTTGTTAATTTTTTTGACAATAAATCAAGACTTTTATTTTCATCAAATCAATGATTACACAATCGATTAAAGTATTGTCTGATTTGCATCTTTGTTTTAAGACTGTAAAATTTGTTTAACTTGTTTGGCTGCCATGGATAACTCAAGAAAATCTAAAAAGTTTAACATAACAAAATTGTATTCTCTACAAGTTTGAATTTATAACGTTGAACATTTCAGCGTTTCAGGGGCGTCTGGAAAGCTTGAAAAAAGGCTTAAATGAATTAAGAATGGATAAACAAAAGGCTGCAAAATCTAGAAAAGAAAGATCATATAACATTGTATGAAAAATTTGTCCTAAAGTTCAAAACAATTTAGTTTATTATCAAGAGAAATGAATACAGTCCATATTTTGCGGGTTTTTAAATATCTACTTTTTGACTTATAAAAAATGATTTTTCTTCTAAAACTCCTATTTTTATTTGATATATAAAAAGGATTATTTAAAATTAGATTTTGTGATGAGTAATAAGTTCAATTTTTGATTGATAGGAGGTGTTTGGTTCAATAACATTCTCTTGAACTGAAAAAAAACTGAATATGATGTTCCCCTGATCTAAAATAAGTAATAACTTATAAATCAGATTGAATAATAGTAATAAATATTAATCTGATATTACATTCTATTCCATAAATAATGCATAGGAATATAAAGGAATAAAAATAGATATAGAAATTCCATTATAATACCTACACAAACCCTTCTCTAAATACAATATTCAACTGGATCAGAATAAAGATTATAGCCATTTATTTACTCGTCTTCAGTACTGTAGAATTCCACAAGTCGCCTGAGAGCGCTTGATCACACGGACATACAGCAATTGAGGTTAAATGTACTTTTGTGAATTGTTGATAGACTCTCATTTTCTCACATAGAACACCTAAAAAAATTGATTGCCACAAACTCTGATTTTATAATCCCTATATAAAGTTTTCACGTATGTTGTAGACCTTAGATATTTCAAACTATGTATTTTGTTAGTCAATGAATCTAAGTTTAAAATATCAAAGGTTTACACTATCAGGTTGTTAAGATATAGAGATTATTTGGGTTGGCAAAGACTCAATTCCTTTCATTGAAAAAAAGTGTCAAAGTCAAAACGGAAAATCATGAAGTTGCCTAAACCTTCCGATTTCTTCACACCTTTATTTTACCCCTTTAAGTTTTACTTTGGAATTTGTGAGCAATCTCTTTAAAATCTATATTTCTCTGTTTACAGTTTCATCTCCTTGATTCCAAAAGGAAAAACAATAAATAAACAAATAAAATATTTAAACATCAAGCCATAAAAGAAAAAGAAATTTAAACTATGATTTTTTTTAACATTTCTTCATTTTAAAATCATTCTGAAATTGTTTCACTTTTAAAAGTATATAATTATTAAAAAAAGAAAATACGCAAAAGTTTAAAATGCACTATTCCTGTTGCACAGTTGGTTAGTTATTTTAATTATTTAAAGCAATTCATCTCTGTCCAAAGTGCATTTTATCTCATAAAGATAATCTAAATTTCATGCAATACAAGAGTTTGTCCATTGCACTCGCACATTAAACGAGAGTAAATTTCACATTAGGTTAAATCTTACAGTTTTAAAATCAATGTGTTCTCACAAAAAAAACTTTTTCCTCAGTGAGTAATAAATGACAAATATTTCTTTAAAGAAAAAACGTTTAAAAAATGGTCTTTTCTTGACTCGAAATTTTTGCAAATTTTGTTTGAATTTTTTTTCTAGTCACAGAAGCCGTGACAGATTCCACACAAAATAATGTTTTTTTTTTCAACGTTCATTGGAGACGTCCCAGTAAAGAGAAAAAACTTAAGTAGAAATAAACAAAAAATTAATATTTTATTTATTCTATGTCCATGGCTTATGCAAAGAAATTGAGTCTTTGCAACCTTTGAAATTTTAAACTTTGATTATTAGGGATTAGAATATCAGAGTTTGTGGCAAAGACTTAATTTTCAAGGATTAAAAATTATAAAAGTTGGTTTAACAAACAATATATACATATCTAAACATTAAATAACAAATAATAACTAAGTTATGGTTTGTTTTAATGGTTGATTTGATATATCAAGCAATTTAATTCCAAACCCTGTTTAATATTCAACTCGTTATGAGCTAAAGCATGGACCTTAAAAGGACAAGGTAGGGTTGGATGTGGTGGGGGGGGGGCAGGACAGCATTGTAAACGTAGTATAGAAAACCCAAGCCACTATAAATATATACCGGTATTTAATACAACAATGTGGGTTAAAGTAAACTTTAAATAATTCGTTCTCAACAAAAAATCTTTCTAAATATATAGAACATCATATCTTTAAAGTATAACGTATAAACTTTTGTGATAATATGCTTAATTTATCAACGAAACATAGAAAAAATATTCTGGATCGCATACGCTGCCACGGGACCCGGGTTGAGAGAGCGCTCCCGTGAATTCTTCTGAGTTTAGTTTTCCTTCGACCGTTGGAAGTCGCGGAGCACAGGAGAGAGCTTATATAGTGTTAAACAGACAAATTATTAAGATAGTTGAATTATAACTTATCAGTCAGTATAAGGATCAGCTGAATTCAAAACAAATACAAGATCTTAAAAAGCCTTGTCTCTGACAAAAAAAGAAATTGTTGCTTTCGTACGGGCCAACGTTACAACCAATTACATATTTATGATTTCTAGAAAACTGAAATAAAAATGTGAATAATCAAAAAACATGAATTTCTAATTAGAAAAGTGAGAAAAAGATATTATGTTGAAGTCTTCTGCTATGTAAGCCGGTGTTAACCTCACCAAAAACCTCAAACAAAAAGGTTAAAAATGAGGAAATTAAGACTTATCTCTGTTTTTGCTGTGATATCAATGAGCTGGGGTGAACGAGGAACGAATATAAGATTAAACCCTACTACTGGGGGTTATGAAGATATTGCAGTAAGAATAGGTTCAGAGCTGACACCTAGCAGCTGCTCGCTAATATTAGATAATATCAAGGTAACAAATAAAAAATTATAAACGTAAAAAGTAAAGAAACTGATTTCATGCCTTAAACCAACTATGAACTATGGACTATGATATTACCAACTATGAACTATGAACTATGATATTACCAACTTGAACTATGGACTATGATATTACCAACTATGAACTATGAATTTAAGAAAACAAAGTTAAAAAAATCAAAGGTCTACACCATCAGGTTGCAAGGATAACGCTATTAAACCTTTGACTGATTAGGGTTGTCTACAGAAACACTTTTAATTGTTGTAAACTTTGTTTGAAACTGAAAGCTGTTTGATATTAATAGAGTTAATTATTTTGTTTCTAATGTAATGTCTCATGAACAACTGAAAGAAAAATCTCATAGAATGATAAAATATGAAAATAAGAATAATATTACAAATGAATTTTTCTCAAAAGATTATGCATTAGAAGATAATTATTGTGTAAGCTAATTATTCATTAAAATTATAAATTCAAAAAAATGATAACCAGAAAGAAAACAAAAATCTTTATTTGAAAACAGAGTAAAAAGACCCAAATAAAAAATTAAATTGCTTAAAAGTTCGAACCCCTTAAAAATGTGCGTGATAACTTGGACTGCGTAGACACTTGTTTCACAAAGGGTGGGGGAGATTGGAATGGGGGGGGGGGGGGGCGGAAATTGGAAATTTTAAGGACTCGGAAATTGCATTAGACTAAAAACGGTAACTTTTCGATTTGCATCGATTTCCTCCCCCCCCCCCCGTTCTTATCTCTTAAACCAACAAATTAAGCAATACCAAGCTTATTTGTATTCAGAGAAAATGTCGTTTTAGGCAAAGCTGGGTTCCCAAGCTTTTAGATGATATTCCAATTATATATATCGTTGTAAGAAATAGGGAACTTTTGAAGCGATATTGTTTTGTCGGATCAAGATGGTTTAGATATGAGTAAAACTGTTCTTAGAATTATCATCGTTAGTAATTTTAAGTTGAATTTGTGAGTCATCAAAATTTGAAAGTAAATGGGGATGAGGATCAGGATCAGGATCAGGATTAGGATCAGGATCAGGATCAGGATCAGGATCAGGATCAGGATCAGGATCAGGATCAGGATCAGGATCAGGATCAGGATCGGGATCAGGATCGGGATCAGGATAAGGATCGGGATCAGGATCAGGATCGGGATCGGGATCGGGATCAGGATGAATTATCGTGGCAATTTACTGTTCACAGAAAAAAAATTTGAAATATTCTTTAAATCAGCCACAAAGAAATTTAAGTATAATTAGTGAACTTGAAGACTAGAATTTACTTTCATTAAAATTGTTTGTTTTCATTTATAGAAATTAAATGATACAAAAATATGTAAAATTAAAATCAGATTTTGATTTTTTCAGAATACTCTCTTTCAATGTAAATAAAGTATTGATAGACATATTGGATATTGAGACTTTGTTGTCTTAAATTATTTGACCCTTTTGATAATATAACACTAGGTTGGATTTCAACTGTCCTAATGGGTAAATGAGCGTGAAATATTATATTCTTGTTGAAATTTGACATTTCTAACCTTCATGCTAATTGATCAACCCCTCTCTCTGTGAATGTGTGAACAAATTTAGATCGCCTACAATATAGACGCAATTTTCGTTCATTAAAAATCCCCCCCCCACCCTTCTAGACAGGGTTAATGGGGGAAATTTGGGTAAACTGTCCCATTCTATGTATTGTATAAGCTCACCTAACGCTTGAATAAACATTTTAAAAAACCTTAATCTGCCTTAAATTCTTTGTCATCGACTCTAAACTTGTTTATTTTTCAAAAACTTGAGAAGTAAAAGAAATTCTAGAAAGAAGGAAAAGATCAAATTTACGAGACCTTCGTAGCTCCTAGTTTTGATTTAAAAACACTTCAGAGAACAGAAAACTTATTATGTTCCATCAAGGGCAGCCGTAGTACATTTGAATTTCCGAGCCGGGTCAACTTTTCCGGTCCCAGTTTGACTCGGTCAGACTTTAGGTTGAATTTACTTTTACTTAAGGGGCAGAGGTGCGTGGTAAGTAATTCAAATCATTTGTGTTTTTCGCTGTTCTTTGAAAAAGCTCTTCAATAAAAGGAGTAGGAAAAATATTGAAAAATAAGATTTCAATATTACGTGAAATTTACTTTAGTTTGACGTGGGATTATGTTTATACTTTAGTTTGACGTGGGATTATGTTTATACTTTTCGTTGCCAAATAATTATTACCCCTCTCCCTTATATATGGATATTCCTTATTCACACTATTCTTACAAATTCTTTTCAGTTCGTTGCCAACTTTTATATTAATTCATTTCTTCATTGGTGAATAAATATACAGTTTGTATTGTACATTTCCCCACAAATTCAGAAATAAACAGATAAATTTGTTAGTGTTTCCCAATGTAATTTTCAATGCGCATTGGAGCGATGCAAATCGTGGTTAGCTTAGTTCGCTTAGTACTTTCTATGAAATAACATAATATTGGAAATCAATTTTTTTATCGTTTTCTTCATCTTTGTAAATTAAATATCAAATTGGAATATTTTTTAATATAGCTGATTGTCATGAAATATTATATTTTATCTTTTTTATTATTTAAAATATTACAACGCTAATTAGCTTGAACTGGATTGCGTTGATGAGAAAAATCGGTCAAATATCTAAAATTAGATTTCGGACCTTTAGATGGGAAGGATAGGAAAGGGACGAGAAGGAGCTAAGAGGCCGGGAGGGGGAGAGGGGAGGGGGCAGATGATAATCAAAGTTTGGGGGGGGGGGGTAGATGGGATCGAAGAGGGCGTGGTTAGTCAGCCAGGATTAGAAAGGAGGGACTTTCCCGTTCCCTCTTAAAGATTATATAAAGTTTGTCTGGTAGGGTGGAGTGGGGGGGGGGCGGGGGGACGCACATTGCCAGGTGTGGGGGAGGGACAAATAAAGACGGGGATAGAGTGAGAATGGGCGAAAAAGGGAGGGGTAGGGTTAATGCTGAGCTAGAAAGGGGGGAGGGGTTAACCGTTCATGTTAGGGATTTTCTGAGCACTATAAATCTAATTTGGTTTCTTACATTTACACTTAGGGGTAACTGCCGTCACATAAATAGTATTTCGCGGGATTTTTTCTGGAAAATTGTTATGGGAACTTAAAATACACATAAGTATAAGTACAGAATAAAGGGCGGGAACATGAGTTATTCTTTAGTATATTGTATTTAATGTAAAGCTTTGAAGCACCCCCTTCTTGAACATTTTAAAATGTTCAAAAAATCCTTGAATAAATTCCTGACAATTTTACCTCGTCGCTTCAAGAGGGAAATTATAGAGTATTTAATTTTCTACTTCACAGTATCTCCTTCAACCCCCTCCCCCCTTCTGGACTTCCCCCTTCTCCTTCAACCCCCAACCTTGTTATATGTACATGCGTTGTATCGAGCGGTCAGTTTGATCATGGGGGAGGGGGAGGGGGGGCAGGTAAGGGTTTTGGTTAAATTACCCCCCCTGTTCATGAACAAATTGTACACCAGGGCGTAAATCATCCATGATAATTGTTATTATTACAAAATATTATATACTGCACAGTTAATGGAATTCTTTGAGAGACAGATAGACAGCCAGCTAGACAGGGACAGACAGATAGGCATATTGACAAACAGTAAGACAGATTGATAGACAGATTGATAGTCGGATTGATAGACAGATTGATAGACGAATTTATAGACAGATTGATATACAGATTGATATACAGATTGATAGACAGATTGATAGACAGATTGGTAGACAGATTGATAGACAGATTGATAGTCGGATTGATAGACAGATTGATAGACGGATTTATAGACAGATTGATATACAGATTGATATACAGATTGATAGACAGATTGATACACAGATTGATACACAGATTGATAGATAGACAGATTGATAGACAGATTGATACGCAGATTGAATCACAGATTGATACACAGATTGATACACAGATTGGTAGACAGATTGATTGACAGATTGATACACAGATTGATACACAGATTGATAGACAGATTGATAGACAGATTGATACACAGATTGATACACAGATTGATACACAGATTGATACACAGATTGATATACAGATTGATAGACAGAGTGATAGATAGATTGATACACAGATTGATTCACAGATTGATACAAAAATTGAGAGACAGATAGACAGAAAGGAAAGCACAGTAAAATAAGGTTCGAAAGAAGATTTTTACGAAAATTTTTGCTAAACGTTAAAAAAACAGACTCAAAGAAAGGAATTTAAGGGAAATATTTGAGAATGGAGGAGGGGTTGGGTGCCTTTAAAGTGGTAAAGGGGTTGGGGGGGGGGGAGATGGAAGGGTTCGAATTGTATTTCGAATTAACATTAAATCTAGAATAAAATCTCGCACGCGTGCTTATCCCAACTGCGCCAGATTCACCGTATTTCCGTTTCCTCAGAATCAAAACATAAAATTAAATTTTATTTTAATATTTTCATTGTTTAAGCATTTATATACTTTGTCCTCATATCCCTTTTCTCTCTATTCAGACGAGGGAAGTTGGCTCGGCAGCAAACAACCCCAAATTTTCTACCACCGAGCCGCTAATTTTTGCAGAATAACCCCCGAGCCCCGTTAAGCTTCTTAGCTGCTTTGATCTGTTCTTCAATTTTCAACCTATTGATTGTTTAATCCTCTACTTTGTTCTGGTTCTGAAAATTCCGATAAATTGCTTAAATCTGAGCTACTTTTACTCAAATATATGCTACTTTTCTCAAACTTGTGACACATAGCTCAGTTCTTTGCTCAAATATTATTGCCAATTTGCTAACATCTGTGCTACTTTTCAAACATATTCTGTACTATTTTACTTAAATCTGTGCTACTTCGCTTAAATCAGTGCTACTTTGCTTAAATCTGAGCTACTTTGCTTCAATCTATAACTATACTTAATTATGAAAACTAATTTTCTTATATCTGTGGCTACTTTGTAAACATATTCTTTGCTACTTTGCTTAAGTCTCTGCTACTTTGCTACTATACTAAAAATAGCTTATTTTCCTATATCTGTGCTACTTTGTAAACATATTCTTTGCGACTTTCCTTAAAGATCTCTGCTACTTTGCTGAAACTGCTACTTTGGCGGTTGATCAGATAAAAATGAAGATCATCATTCTCTTTCTAATCGGTATCGTCCCTTCTCCTAGCAACTTAATAGAATATAAAGTTAATGAATGAATGAATAATGAATTTAAAATTAATGAATGAATATATTGTAGGGAAGTCTGACAGCAGCAAGTAGGTCACTTCACCTAGCAACTTAATAGAATATAAAGTTAATGAGTGAATGAAGAAATGAATAAAAATGAATGAATGAATATATTGTAGGGAAGTCTGACAGCAGCAAGTAGGTCACTTCACCTAGCAACTTAATAGAATATAAAGTTAATGAGTGAATGAAGAAATGAATAAAAATGAATGAATGAATAATGAATTTAAAATTAATGAATGAATATATTGTAGGGAAGTCTGACGGCAGCAAGTAGGTCACTTCACCTAGCAACAGAAGGCCAAGTCTACTTTGACAAAATCTCTATAGAAGTTCCAAGTTCTTGGAGTGAAATAGATTGTAGAATACCGCTCTCATCATCATGTCTTCCTCCGACAGGATCAAGGGTAGGTTCTTCTTATATTTTTTAGAACGGAAAATAATTGATTCCTCGCCTTAAAGGGACTGTAAGCGTAATTTTAAGAGACTCTTCATTAAAAAGATGGCATTCCCCGATTCACAACAGTTCCCTTCAAATCTATATTTGATTAAGGATGAATTAGATATGAGTGTTTATAACTAAAACAAGGTTAATTTTCCATTGCAGCAAAACATATATAATGAAGTATTAGAATTAGTTACTAGAACTACGACAATATCTTCCACATTATTAATAAATAAAGGTTTCAAGGGTACCGTTGTGAATCGGACATTGTCATCTTTCCATGGAGGTTAATTTTAAGCTCTAATATTCTAATCTTACAGCTGAACAACCACAAATTTTGGACTCAGATGCTCATATTGAATCTTGTTTTATTGGACAAAAATAAATTATTTTTTTTTTATTTTATTTGGAGGAAAACTGTTAAAGTTTGTATTATTACTTTGCCTCTGATTTTACTGATATTGCAGAATTTTGTAAACGCTGTCTTGTGTAAAACTTTTTAGAAAGCAGTTTCTTTTAAGAAACTGAATAATATTAAAATATTAAAATCAGCGGGAGAATACTGTGCCTTTGATGTCAAACACATAATAATAAGTCAATTACAAATACAAAAGAAGCATTATGAGTTAGGACGCAAATTGTGTATTGCATCTCTGGAAGAAAAAATACTAATTCTCAAGCAATTTCTGTTGTCAAGTAAACCCCCCCCCCCCCTTAAATTTGTCTGGGTTTTTATTTTAACGACATTTTAGATTCCTCATTCAACTTGACGCAATGTGTTTTCAATAATTATTCTTTATCGATATATCCTTGGATTTCAAACATGAAGGGCATTGAAGGAAAATAAAATCTTTAAGGGTCGCAAGGTTACATAAATGGGACGGGTTAAATTGGGTTAAACGCTCCAATTCCCCCCTTGCAGCCAAACGGAAAACAATAATATTTAACTGGATTTACAAAATAAAGATGGCTGATTTTAAACTGAAAAATACAAGTAATGAAAACATTAACTGAATTTGTGAATAACATTTATATTATATCTATATTATACAATATAGATATTACTAGATATTACAGCAAAGATATTATAATATAATAGATAGAACAGCAAAAAAATTTTAATATAATAGATATAACAGCACGGATATTATAATATGATAGATAGAACAGCAAAGATATTATAATATGATAGATAGAACAGCAAAGATATTATAATATAATAAATAGAACAGCAAAGATATTATAATATAATAGATATAACAGCAAAGATATTATATTATAATAGATATAACAGCACAGATATTATAATATAATAGATATAACAGCAAAGATATTATAATAAAATAGATATAACAGCAAAGATATTATATTATAATAGATATAAAAGCAAAGATATTTTAATATAATAGATAGAACAGCATTTTACTATAATAGAATAGATATAACAGCAAAGATATTGCAATATAATAGATAGAACAGCAAAGATAATTCAATATAATAGACAGAACAGCAAAGATATTGTAATACACGAGATAGAACAGCAAAGATATTATAATACACGAGATAGAACAGCAAAGATATTGTAATACACTAGATAGACAGCAAAGATATTATAATAAACTAGATACGACAGCAAAGATATTGTAATTCACTAAATAGGACAGCAAAGATATTTTAAATTGTAATGCACTAGCTTTTACAGAAAAGATATTAGAATACACAGATAGAACAGCAAAGAATACATAGATAAAACAGCAAAGATATTATAATACACGAGATAGAAAAGCAAAGATATTGTAATACACTAGATACGACAGCAAAGATATTATAATACACGAGATAGAAAAGCAAATATATTGTAATACACTGGATACGACAGCAAAGATATTATAATATAATAGATAGAACAGCAAAGATATTGTAATACACTAGATACGACAGCAAAGATATTGTAATACACTAGATAGGACAGCAAATGTATTAGAATACACAGGAATAAACACCAAAGAAAATTTATAATGCAATAGATAGGGCAGCATCGATATCTCAATACACTAGATAGGACAGCAAAGGTATTTAAATGCATTATATAGCAAAGATATTATTACAATACACTAGACAGCAAAGATACGTTTGTAGTACACTAGATAGGACTGCAAAAATATTAGAATGCAAAGATGTTGCTTTCACATTTTTACACATTAATATCTCAGATATGTGTCGACGATTTTTTGGTTTTGCAAAGGGGAAAGGGGAATGATGGAGGGGGGTAACTAAGGGGAAGGATAAGGGGAAGGGGGTACAGTACAGGGTCTAAAAAGGGAAAGGGAATGATGGAGGGGGTGGGGTGTAAAAGGGGAAGGATAAGGGGAAGGGGGTACAGTACAGGGTCTAAAAGGGGAAAGGGGAATGATGGAGGGGGGGTGGAAAAGAGGAAGGATAAGGGGAAGGGGGTACAGTACAGGGTCTAAAAGAAAGGGATATTGCATTTAATACAAGTTGGAAAAGTTAGATGAAGATAATGAAACTTTGCAATACGATTATATTCAAGGAGAAAACATTTTGTCTCTATTACATAACTTCAAACAAACAAATTAAAAGGGACTGTACAGATATATCAACAAAGATTTTCTTGAAGAATTTAAATAATTTAAATTCAAATTCTAACAAGATTTTTCTTAAACAAAAGTTTCATTCTCCGACAAAATCTTTAACATCTTACAAATTGAAGTTTTATCACGTTTTTCTAACACCTTGATTTATGCGCGTTCGTGCGCGTATTGATATAGCTAGAGTGCGCGTTGACAAAGTTAAATGGTCCTTTGATGCACAATAAGATAAGGATTCAGGATTCGGCTTCTAAATTGTTTTTTAGTCAAACTGGGGAGGGAGGGGTAAGGAATGGGGTCGAGGGGGCATGGAAGGGGAGGGGGTATTTTCGAGAGGGTTAAGAATGTTCCTAAACATTTGGCAGCGTCTACAAGTTTGACTACTGTTAGTTCCAATTTATGTTTTGTTTGAATTTTATCTTTTTAAAAAATCAGTTTTTAAGAACCTAGTTATCTAGCAACTTGAATTTTTAAGATTGTCCCAAAAAAACTAAAACTAACATTCTTCCGCTTTCAAATGAACAAAATAAAGAATTTTTTATTTCATTTTCAGACTGGAGATATACTGGTTGGAGAGGATCACCCTGTCAAAGGGGCGTTCCCCTGGACCCAACAATCCCAGGGGTGTGGCTACCCTGGGGAATACATGCACCTCCCCTTTTCCTTCCTAGCCCCCTCCAACTCCTCTATGATGGGGAAAATGATCGCTAATCAATGGATGCGCCTGCGCTACGGAGTTTTCGAGGATTACGATCCTCGCCGTGCCGGTCTGAGCGTAACCTCTGTCCACCACGCCCTATGCCGGGGCCGGACTGTCAAGGACATCATAACACATCACCCGGATTTCTCAACCGTCCGGGAGCCGGGGAACTTCACCCTGCCAAGGTTTTCAATCACCCGACGCTCTGCTCCGAAATATGTTATAGTCCTGGAGAACTCACAATCAATGAATATGCGAGATAACTGGGATTTTATCCGGACTGCGAGCAAAAAGTTTATTGTCCATGACCTCCCTGACACGGCAGAGGTCGGCCTCGTTCTATTCAACGAGGCTGCTCATATTGCTTATCCTCTATCCAAGCTAGGACCTAAAACAAATCCTCAAACAAGGAACGGCCTCGCGTTCTCGATCAAGAACAAGTACAACCTCTCTCCCAGCTCAGGTAGCTGTGTAAGATGTGGCATAGAACGTGCTATTGAGGCCCTGCAGGGTTCAACCACGCCCCAGGGAGCGGTCCTGATTATCATGAGCAGGGGCGGGGTAACCTCCCTGTCACTAAGCGAAGAACGAGAAATGTTGGAATTGTCGCAAAGGCATTCTCTTCAAATATTCTCAATATCTTTACCACAACCTCCAGTAGTAGATATAAGTATATCTTTAGAGAGACTAGCTTATAGAACAGGTATTATTATCATTATTATTATTATTATTATTATTATTATTATTATTATTATTATTATTATTATTATTATTATTCAGAAAGAAACAAAAAAACATTATAAAAATATTTCTGAAATTAAAAAACTTTTTTTGGTTGGGGTTGTCTACAGTTCAGCACACAAACAGTACTAAGTAGTGTAAACTGTTACTATATAACAATTTATCTATCCATCTAAAGGTATACGGGGTAAAAGGATTATATCCGAGTATTTTCTTTCTTTTTGAAATCCGATATAGAGACAATATACTTGCTCCATTGTATCAAAATAATGAAAATTGCACTCGAACGTTAAAACTCTTTGTTAAAAAATATCTATAATGTTGAAAGGATTGATCATAAACAAAATTCAATTATTGTTTTGTATTTATCATATATATTGCACTGTTTTATTAATCTTTATTTATTATTAATAATATTTTATTGTTATTATTATTGTTGCCATTAAAGCAATTGTAAATGTAATGTCAAGTGACCCTCTCTATGTCGATAGTATAGATTGTTCAATATACAACGGTATTCTTTAAACCTTTGCCGCGGAGCCAAAGATGATTGAGTTATCTCTGATTATTTCTCTACAAATTGATTATTATTAATCGTGGTTTCTCTATAAAAGTGACTCATCCATGGATTTCTTGCAACAGCAACAATGCAACCGGAAAAATTGAGAAATGTAACCATGTAAAGCTTTAAAAAAGACGATATTTTACACATTATTACTAAGATAAGGGTGCTAAGATGAGGGTACTAAGATGAGGGTACTAAGATGAGGGTACTAAGATGAGGGGTATTAAGATAAGGATACTAAGATGAGGGAACTAAGATGAGGGTACTAAGATGAGGGTACTAAGATGAGGGTACTAAGATGAGGGTACTAAGATAAGGGTACTAATATAAGGGTACTAAGATGAGGGTACTAAGATGAGGGTACTAAGATGAGGGTACTAAGATGAGGGTACTAAGATAAGGGTACTAAGATGAGGGTACTAAGATAAGGGTATTAAGATGAGGGTACTAAGATAAGGGTATTAAGATAAGGGTACTAAGATAAGGGTACGAAGATGAGGGTACTAAGATAGGGGTACTAAGATGAGGGTACTAAGATAAGGGTTTAAAAGGGACAGTTAAAAATTTGACATAGCCAGCTCTTTAAATGGAGGGTCACTTGAAATTACATCAACGACAGTTCCTTTAATCAATTTATTATTATTAATTTTATTATCTGTTTATAGGAGGTGAATCCTTTTATATAGTTGATGACGAGATCAACTCCGATGTCTCCTCTTTGTCTTCCTACGTGACCCTGACCGACACATTCAGGGAGATCTACAGTAGGACCTGGAGCCCTGCACCTGCACTGGTAGGTGTACCGGCCCGTGTAAAATGTTCCATGGCGGGCTGGGCAGCCCTTGCACAATGTACCGGCCAGTATTTAGTCCTTGTGCAATGTAACGGCCGGCGGCCCGTATTTAGTCCTTGTGTACAATGTACTAGCCCGTATTTAGTCCTTGTACAGTACAATGAACCGGCCAGTATTTAGCCCTTCTACATGTACAGACCTGTATGTAGTCCTTGTACAATGTACCAACCCATATTTAGACCTTGTACAATGTACCGGCCCGTATTTACCCCTTGTACAATGTACCGGCCCGTACTTAGTTCATTTACAATGTACCGGCCTGTATTTGACAGTTCTTTGTTTTTTTTCATCTTCACCATTCTTTTATTTATCCCCCATTGTCATTTGTTTTTGTTCCTTTTTCATCATAGAAAAGAATAGTTTTCTTTTTATTGTTTATTTTATTTATTAACCAATTTATAGAAATATTGTTCCTGGGGGGGGGGTTATTTGTGGTTATAGGAACATTTCATAATTTAATCAATCTATCTATCTATCCAATTATTAATCCATCTATCTATGTATCTAGTTTTCAATCTATCTTTCTTACTATCTAATTTTCAACCTATCTATCTTTCTATCTATTTTTCAATCTATCCAACTATCTAACTACAAATATAGCAATCTATTATTCTATCTAAGTATCTAACAATCAATTAACCTATCTAATAAATAATCTATAAATGTATCTATCAAAACACCAATCTAATTGTGAAGCCACTAATCTATTTCTAACCAGCTGTCTAACTATCTAACAATATATTAATCTATGGAATAAAACAATCTATCTTTATTCTTTATATCAATCTATCAAATAATCTATTCATCTAACTAAAAATCCATAGTTAAATTAAGTTATCTAACTGAAAAATTATCAATCTATTTAACTAAAGATATATCTCTAGCTATTCATATTTCAATCTATATAACTAAAAAACCTTAAATCAATCAATTAATCTTTAAATATTTGAAGAATAAGACTTTCTAGAAAAGTGTAAAAAAGTTTTATTTATTCTGAGTCTGGTTACATCAAGAATAATTTTTGAAATATCATGATCTGTCAAGATAGAAGTTTACAAGGATACAATCTAACTTCATTGTCGATATTTTGATCCTAATATATCTAACTTTCCATCTATCTATCTATCTATCTATCTATCTATCTATCTATCTATCTATCTATCTATCTATATATCTATATATTTGTAACTATGCCTTCTTTATAAAGGAATTCTAAATTTAGTTAAAATCATCTCCGCTTCTCCCCTCTTCTAATTTAATATTTTATACCTTTTACTATTTACAAACTCATTCTACCCTCCCCCCCCCTCTGTACCCTCTTTTCATAGAAATGTATACTCTTTTTCTGCTTTTTAATCTTATATTTTTCTGAAATCAGAATTCTTTTAAATAAAAAAATGTTATTGTTAAACTTTACTTATGCTCTTTACATTAATAAAAAAATATATATCTCTTTTTTATTTTTGTTAAAATCTTGAATCTATTTTGAAAAATATATTTGTTAAGATCTACGAGCATGAGTACGGACCACACACGGACGGAGTTTACGAGAACCGAGGACACTTCACCCTGGACAAGTTCTCCGGGGGGGAGACAGAGTTCAACGTGTTTGCGGTCAACCCCTTCGAAAACTACCTGAAGAGTATGACCCTGCAGGACAGGCGGGGGAACCTGTTCTCTGATATCATGGATAACCTCGCCACCTTCCACATCTTCTCTATTTACAACGTTCCATTTAAATCGGTAAGCTAGAAAAACGACAATATCTCCCACATTATTGATCAGATAAAGGTTTCAAGGGTGCTTGAAATTAGGCCTAATAATTCCTTTAAAGGGACTATCAACGGAATTTCTATTGACTCTTCTTTCAGAGAGTTTGTATGTGGTCACCACCTTTAACTGAGTAATAGTGAGGAATAATGAAATTGATTTTCTTCACTGCCTTCGGTGCAAATAATTCCCACGTCCGCCATAAAAATTCCGCAATTGAAAAGTATTAATTTTCAAATTAAAAAAAATGAAATTTCCATATTTTCTTCTGGTAAAATGTTAGAAAAGATACCTTTGGGAATCGGGCATGGATCTTTGAACAATAATAATTCAGTATTTCAAAGTTCGTCCTTTTAGAAATAAGAAGCAAAATGCTGTGTATTATTCTGAGAGGAATTTTAAAGATTTGAATGCGCGATAAAACTAAGTGTAACATTTGATTTTGTTTATTTTAAAAGTTTCCATTTACTACAACATTTAGCTAGAAAAAAAGATGTTTTAGATTTTGAAAATGGGAGGGGGGGGGGGTTCCCCTCCTCCCCCCTTCTCCCATTAGGAATCCTGGTACTTTGTGTTGTGCATTCTATTGTTATTAACATGAAGATAGTTAGAGACGTAATTGCTCGCATAAATATCTTTTCTTAGGAAACTATTGAAATTAAACTTAAGAAAAGAATTACAAAAAGAAAACGGAAACATTGAATACGATACAATACAATACAAACAAAAGTAAAAAACTGAATGATGGAAAAATAAGGGGGGGTTAGTGTTGGCAGAGAAACAAGAGCAGGAGGTAGGGATGGGGAAGGGGGTGGGATCTGGGGGGGGGGATTACTCCGAATAAAAATATGGGAGTAAAGTATATCTCATCTTTATATAATGTGCTTCTATATCCAACATCTTTTATGCGTTTTCTTCCACGTTCTTATATTTCATGTTTTCATATCTCTACTTCAAAGCTCTCTGGGGACTTTAAGGTCTAGGAGAGGGGGAGGGGGGAGATGATTTAAAGGGAGGAGAGGGAAGTGTAGGAACAAAAATTGAGTATGAACTGGTTAAGGGATACTGGATCCAAGGTTATAAAGTGCCTTATGGGGTTCGACTCAGGGGCGGTATACACTATACAGGATTATGTCCAAGGGGGGCACTTCGGTTGTAGCCAGAAAACTTAGGCCCTAGAAACCATGATTTCACTGATCCAGAGGGGCTCAGCCCCCCCCCCCCTCATTGAAATTGATGAAAATTCCTTCTTGTAAAATCATCACTCTGCGGAATTTTTTACGGATGATTTTATGCTTATTTTATATCTATTTGTGTTTCGTTATAGTAAACACACAATATTGCATATATGGTATGCGCCGCGAGTATGGTCAAACATTTGCTTTCTTAGATGTTCATGGATTATTTGATTTGTTAGAAAGAGTGTAGATTTTTTGTTGTTTCTCTGCTATTGTTTTAAATTAAATTTTGTTGAATTTATTCCATATTTGTTTACTGTTTTCATGTTTGTTAATTTTATTATTTGTTTGTTTATGTTAAGGGTTGTTTGTTTGTTACTAATTGTTTGTTTATATTACTGTCTGTTTGTTTTGCTATTTGTTTGTTTATGTTACTATCTTCTTGTTTATGTTACTGTGTGTTTGTTTATGTTGCTGTTTTTTCGTTACTATATATTTGTTAATGTTACTGATTGCTTGTTTACATTACTCTTTGTTTGTTTATTTTACCCTTTGTTTTTAAATGTTACTATCTGTTTGTTGTTGCAGTTTTTTTTACCGTTTGCTTGTTTTTGCTATTTGTTTGTTTATGTTACCGTTTGCTTGTTTTTGCTGTATGTTTGTTAATGTTACCGATTATTAGTTTACATACTCATTAGTTTATTTTAACCTTTGTTTTTAAATGTTACTATCTGTTTGTTGTTGCAGTTTGTTTGTTTTTGATGTTTGTTTGTTTATGTTACCGTTTGCTTTTTTTTGCTGTATGTTTTTTAATGTTACTGATTGTTAGTTTACATACTCTTTATTTATTTAATTTAACCTTTGTTTGTTTGTTTGTTTTGTTATCGTTTGTTTGTTTTTGCTGTTTGTTTGTTTATGTTGCTGTCTGTTTGTAGTTGCAGTTTGTTTGTTTATGTTACTGTCTGTTTGTAGTTGCTGTTTGTTTGTTTTTGCTGTTTGTTTTAGCTGTTTTTTTGTTTATATTACTGTCTGTTTTTAGTTGCAGTTTATTATTATTGGTTATTAGTTTAAGTGTCAATAAAAGAGACAATACAATATACTTCGACTTATAACTTCTGCAAAATAACACTTCCACTTTAAATCTTAGATAAGTGTCTAAAATTAAGTTTTAACATTTTTGAATCAATTCAAGCTTTAAGGTTGAACATTAAAAAAAGTTTGCTTTATCACAATGGCAAAACTTTACTCTACCTGAATGAAGAAACCTCGTAATTGGTTAAAAATCATACAGGCCTATATCTTCTACCAGAGAGTGAATTTTTTAATATTTAACCATTTTGAAAGTAAATTAAATCCAAAATTATGATAATAATGCTCTTAATATTTTAGGAGCAGAATATCGGAATGAACTGGAGCTACAGCCTAGAACGTCTTCCATCTGAAACCATGATGAATTCTCATATTGTAACAGTTCTGTCCTATCCCAGAGACCCCAAGGAGACAATAAACGTCAGGTTTTGGACTAACCTGGATGAACATGCGGTCAGCCTGTCGGCTAGTACGCCGGTCATAATGTATGCTGAGGTCACTGTCAACTATGCCCCGGTCGTTGATGCTAGTGTTATTGTCGAACTCCAGGCAATAAACCAGTCTGGATATCTAACCCCCCTGATATATATCCCACTTCTTGATAATGGAAATGGTGATCCAGATTTGTTTCCTCAGGACGGAATTTACTCCAGGTACCTGACACAAGTGCCCAGTGAGGGACGGTACACTATCACGCTCCGGGTTAATGATAACTATGGAAAAGCGTTTGCTCCGCTGAAGAGTTATGGAGACAATTCCCGTTCTTGTTGCCAGGATCAGTATCAGAAGGTTTCAAACCAGAAACTTGGAGCTTTTTCCCGAATCCATTGGGGGGATTCATTTAGAATCCACAATATGGAGAAGGGATCAATGCCTCCCTCCAGAATCCTAAACCTGGCTGTAACAATGCTCCCCAAGACTGATGAACTTGAGTTTACATGGATCAGTCCTGGAGATGATTTTGATTACGGGAAACCAACTTCCTACCAACTCTACCTCGCCACAGATTCTAGTAAGTTCTACGAAAATATTAAGAAAACCAGTCTAGTTGAGAGTTTCAGTGCTTTTAAGCCTGCTGGAATACAGGAAACCCGGAAGATCCCTCTGTCGGAGTATGATAAGAATCTGTACTACGCTATCCTCGCGGTAGATAAAGATGGAAACCTAGGTGAGATATCTAATGTTGTTAAAGCCTTCCTACCGAGCCCTGTTCTGCAGAACGACGTGAAGACAAGTCCCCACTCCACGGGGGATGTGAGCAATACAGAACTGCACTCAGAAAAGCCCAGCAAGATACTTTTATACCTCATAGTGGGCATTGTAGGATTTATTGTCCTTTGCATGTTTGTTGTCATGATAATTCTTGTCTCCTTCCGCAGGAAGAAAGTCCCGGAAGATTTGGAGACCAATAAGTCGACAACAACGGACAATGGGTTCAGTGTTATCCAAGACGAACTGGAGAATATATCCCGGGATCCAGAGGCGAAACATTTCCTACTGAGCAGTTCAAATCAGGATTCGAACACGACCAATGTCCCAACACACAGTAGTTTGATCAGAGATGAGAGCGGGAGCGTGAGTGATAACCCATACGGATATACTCCTCGTCAGGTGGCTCCGGGATACGGATGGTCAGCTACAACCAATCCATATGTATATAAAGATCACAATGAGACCTATGCTTCCATTGGTAGTTTCCACAATACCTCACAGGACTCATATATCCGTGGTTTCCAACCCACCTATGCTCAGCCTATACCTAAGAATCTCCGATCTCAGCATATTTACTCCAATGCTGCGGTAATTGCACGTAACTCTCCTCATGGTAGTCACAGCAGCATCGAATGCTCCCGAGGAACAGTAACTTTCCAGGCCCATGCTGAACCCAATCTAAGTCGGGTATCTCCGGACTCAAACCATTCCAGTGAGCAGACGGCAACCCCCACCAAATCCATCCTGAAGAAACCAAAGAATCTGGAGAATCTTGGAGATACCACCTCGGATAGAGATTCTCAATCCTCCCAGTGCTCTAGTGTTCCAAAGGAGGATTCCATCCGGTCTCCGAGTACTGCCTCTAGTCAACCCTCTCAGCACTCAACCCTGCCTCCGCTGGAGGATCCAAACCTCTCCATAGAGAAAACCTACCTAGAAACTAGCTTTGAGTTCGGAGGCGTTGGAGGAAGTCAGGAGGAGGCGGAGAACGCTGTGAATTCTTGTAAAATGCCACCGCCAACCCTTCCCAAGCCGAGGGGAGCTAATCAAGACGTTATTGTGAGTTCAGATAATCTCTCAAACAGTCTGGATAAGAAGATTAGAAGCTGTACCCAAGTCTAGCCCCTCAAACTTTCAAATTTAATCCCTCCCTTCCCCCCTAAGATTAACCCTCTCCCCCAGGCTACTAGAGTTCACACTAACAAAACATTTAATCTCATTATTCCACGTGGATAAATATCAAATACAAACTCTTGACAGAGATCAACCCTAAAAATGTGTGAAAAATGCTTCCTTTATACATATAAATATGCAACATCATAACTAATGATTAAGCATTTTTTCTAAATATCAATAAGTGAGAAATATAAAACAATGTTTTAAAACGTTCTATCAAATTTAACAGATATTGAAAATTTTGTCAACATAATACTTTGCTGAGGCAAACCATGATCAATGCAACATATTTGAGAACAATCTCTTAAAATCCGGGCTCTGATGATGATCTCCAAACTTGATCTCAGTTTGATCTCCACGTTTTTATTCTAAAAAAGTAGTTTTTTTTAAACTCTAGTCCAAAACATTTGTACATTCATTGTACGTTTAAAACTTACATTTCGTAAATGGACAATACAGTTTTCAGTTTTATTTTTTATTTCTTCGTAAATGTTTAGTACAAATTGTGAGTAATACAAAGAAAAACTATGTTCAATGAAAACTAAACACATAGATTGTACATTACCCTGTTTTACATACACTGTACACTATAATGAGCTGTTTACGAAAACAAGTGTCAGAAAAAAACCATGCGATAAAATAAAATGAAGTTAGTTTTATAAGCATATTTATTATTTATAAAACATAAAATTTACATCTTTGCCATTGTTAGTTTTTATTACACTTGATAAACCATGCACAGTCTAAGAGAAGGAATAAAAGGGACTGTACGCGTAATTTCAAGTGACCCTCCATGCAAAGGTGGCAATGTCCGATTTACAACGGTACCCTTGACAAATTAGATCAACTATTAATAAATTCTCCTTGTTTTTGTTTTTTAAAACTGTTAATTTGGATTTGTGGTTTCTCTGCAAAAGAAATTATCAGGATTAAAACGTTACGAGTCCAAAAAACTGGCATTATCTTCCACATTTTTGATCAGATTAAGGTGTTAAGGGTACTGTTCTTAATCGGACATTGCCATTGCCAAGGTTTACTTGAAATTATGCATACAGCCCCTTTAATAAACAATGCAAAGTCTCAGAGAAGAAGTTATCTGCATAATTCTATTATTAAAGGTTCCATATCGCACTGATAGGATTAGTATTTTGATTGATCAAATATTAATATTTTCTCACTGCTTAATATAGTTTTTTTTCAAAAGCAAACGGCTCTTCATCCAGCTACACGGGCAGCTGTAGTACATTTGAATTTCCGAGCCGGGTCAATCTTTCCGTTCCCAGTTTGTACTGTACCTAGCTCTATGGACAGGACTAGCCGGTGCAACAAGGTTGACGCGGTCAGACTTTATGCTTCATATAGGTTAAATTTTTACTAGATGGGCAGATTTGCGTGGCTAATGAGGATAACTCAGTACTAGTACTAGCCAATTTTTCAATTTTATCACATTCACATTAATATGAAAATCGTCAAACCAGAATCATATACTTTAAAATTGTGGATATCGATATCCATGCTTGATCTACTCTGTTAGTTAATCTTAGGCTTATTTAATCTTTGGTTTGTATCCTAGAAAGTTTCTTAAATTCATCAAATCAGATTGGTGTATGCAGAATCTCGAACAGCCAATCAGTAGCTGAGATATTTGAAATGTTGCGCCATTTAATGAGAGAACGCAAAAGTGTCCACGGTGGATATTCAGATCCGCTATCCGATTCTACTAAATTATTATTTCTAAAAAACTAGGTTTCGCTTGATTTTAGCCTTTATAGGTGCGTAATCTCCTTACAAAACTTAAAACAGAATAATGATTCTTGTTTTGAATGAATTTTCAAAACTTATATTATTTTACACATTTTTAATCTGATATTATATTTTCGTATTTTACTTCGAAAATATGCGTTTAAGTATAGTTTTTTTTTGCAAACGTATATACATCTTTCATCTTCCATCAGGTGAAATAAACCAAAGAAAAATGCGGAAAACTCTAAATTACCGATCTCTCTTTCTCTGATATAATTTTCTTTTTTAGCAAAAAGCTGAGAATATAAATCCTCGAGAGATACTTTTTCTTATTCTCAGTTTATCTGAGACACTAAACGCAACAAACTCCTGAACAATTTATCTCCACTAAGGATTTATAGGCTTTAGAGACAGATTAATTCAGAATTTGAATTTGATCTGAATAGATGTATTTTTGCCAGATAAATGTAAAAAAAATGAAAATTTAAAACTGTCCCTTCAAAACAATCTGATTTTTATATAAAAATTTCAAATTTACGAACAAAAACCGGGAAATCTGAGATTTTTTATCCGGTTTTCTAAAAATTAAAATGATCGCAATTAAATCAACTGCATGAAAACTACTACAGAAAATGCAGAATAAATATTTCGTGAAAAAAAGTTGTATAAATTTTGGAAAAAACTAAATTGTAAAAAAAGTTTAAATATTTGTTTCTGCTCTAATTATTATGATAAAACATATTTTTCAGGAACCCATATTTTAAAGAAGATCATCATAGCTTAAAAACGATGGACGCTGACTTATTATTATTATTATAATTGTTATTATTATTATAATTATCAATATTATCATAATTATCATTATTATAATAATTATCATTATTATTATAATTATCACTATTATTATAATTTTGATTATTGCCTAAATTATTTGTACTGACATATTTAAATAAACGGAAACCTAAAAATTTTTTACATTAGAAATCTGAATGTTTTTATTTCTTTAACTAGTCTGCAGAAAACAAAGAAAGTAAGTAAACATATCGGGAGATAAAATGAAACGAAAAACTCTTAAACTTTCCCTTCAATATACTGTAATTTTTTCTTAGAATCCACTTCCGGTAGCCTGGATACTAAACCTGAATTCCAGTGAGAGGATTCTAATAAAATATTTAATATTTTCACAGGAAGAAATGTATTCCACTTTATATACCTCAGCACTAAGGGTTGAATATCTAAAAATAGCTAAAAATTATAATTTCTTGTTTTAAATCAATTTTTTTAACGTTAAATGATAATTGATCCACTTTTAAAGGGACTGTTTGCGTAACCGTAATTGTAAGGTACTCTCCATTTTTTGAGTTTCCTCTCCAATTCCCTTCAAATATTTTTCTTATTAAGAAAAGATCATTTAATTCAGACTTTACCAAAAGAATTGAGTCTGTGCCTCAAATTCTGATTTTCTCATCCCTACCTCTTTGCACCCCAATGACGTAGATATTTCAAACTATGAATCTAAAATAAATAATCTAAGTTTTCACAATTAGGTTGTACAGATATAAGAATTATAAAATTTGAGTTTGTAGCCATGGTTTGGGTAGCCCTGTTTCTTAGATATCCAGCCCACAGTGAATTTGGGCTTCCTTCCTTTGTCCACTTTTCTATTTTACCAAATTCTTTTATCTGAACATGTGTGCAAAGGCCTGTATTTTATCTGAACATGTGTGCAAAGGCCTGTATTTTATCTGAACATGTGTGCAAAGGCCTGTATTTTATCTGAACATGTGTGCAAAGGCCTGCAATTTTTTCATTCAATATCTTAGCTCTCGAATCAGGCCAAGAAGTACTAAGCACAGTATGCAGAAAGGGTCGGTAAGGGTACAGTAGGACCCAAAAAAATGTGGAATATGAAGACGACATTTAGACAAATTTTTTTGTGTATTTAATGTTAATATAAAGCTACAAGTTTTTTGCCAACAGTGTTAATCACTGTGTACTAAAAATGTTTATTGAACTATTAAAAATCTTGAGGTTAGCTGTCGTCTTCTATTTCACAGTTGTCTCATGGTATAAACATTTATTTTAACCTAGAGGGACTGTACGTGTGATTTCAAGTGACCTTATATATTATAAGGTGTACACTGATTCACAACGGTACCCTGGAAATCGTTGTTACTAATTAGATAATGTCCTAATGGTACTGTTGTGAATCGTACATTTAAGTCTTCAAACGGTGCTACAAGATACAAGGTAAAGATTACGGTGATTAAGTTCAAAACAATATTATTTTCGTGCTGAAATATAAAACAATAAAATTACTACAGATCTTTGGCTACTCGATACATTCATGCTTCCCAGTCATTTTTCTCATGCTTTCCTATCAGTATAACTAATTTTTATTTATCCTGCTATATCATGGTGTTTTCTTTCAAACAAAAATATCTAAATGGATTTTTATAAGATGCGTCATTTGAGCCTTATTGCTACACATTTTACAGATAAAATTCCTTCATGTGGTTTTTCAGTATGCAACATTTTTATTTATTTTGTTTATTTATTTATGAAAATAAATTACAAATACAAGAAACAAAATCATGATGCAGGGGAAAAGTTAATGTTAGGTCTTGCATATAATTTTGTCAAGCTTAGCTCAACCCACACTCCTCTGCCGCTTTAGTAAATGTAAATTGGCGGTACAGTCCAAAGTAGGACTACAAAGGTTGACCCAGCTCGGATATTCAAATGTACACCGGTGGGACGTGAACCCAGAACATCTGACTGAGTACTGTCGTACAGACTGGATTTAGTTTATAGAGGATAATCATTGCTATACGTAAAAAACCTCTTTAATAAATCAGAATAATTCAGTGCATTCACTGGTAGAGAAAATACAGCTGTGCAATAAATTTGTACAATAATTTATTTCAGTGTAAAATAACATAAAAACGACTTTGACCTTTCCAAGAGGGTTGGCGAGGTCGTCATTGCTCCTATACATCAACCTCTCAGGACGCAGAGAGATGAAGTATGAAGGGGGGGGAGGGGGAGAGAGGAAACGCCCACTCAGCCTCTACCGGAGATTCTAAATAATAGAATAATATTAACGACGATNCTTCATGTTAAAGGGACTGTAAGCGTAATTTCAAGTGACCCTCCATGCAAAGATGACAATGCACGATTTACCAAAGCTTTGATCAAGTATGAATTAGATACCAATGTTATTGTTATTGTTTTTTTTTTCATTTGAGGTTTCTCTGCTAAATAGTGACTTGCCCATTTCTTGCTTATAAGAAGCAAGGATAAATTCGAGTCAGAAAACTACATTATCTTCTGCATTATTGATCAGAATAAGGTTTCAAGGGTATCGTTGTAAATCGAGAATTGTCATCTTTGCATGGAGGTTCTATTGAGGTCCACATTTGTGTAAGTTTTATCTCAGAAATTGAAATTGGAAGATAAGTATCTAGCTATGAAGTAAAACATCTCTGTTCGTCTGTTTGTTTGTTTACCCGATCATAACTCAAGCAGAGCCCCTTGACTGATTTTCTTCTAATTTTGATTGGGAACCATAGAACCACGGAACCATGGAAATGCCTAGCTTTGTTTTGGGATTCAAAGTGAGTCCACTTTTCAAGGGAAAAATAGCTAAAATCGTAATTTACGACTAAGCGCGGGTAAACGGCGGGAGCAACAATGATTACTCTAAATTAAATATAACTCTTAAGTAAAACCCAGACAAATTTTTTTCAAATACATTCTTGTGCAGAAATGGCCTCACGATTTAATATTTTATTATTGAAAAAATTTCGATTTTTATTTGAAAAATTATCGCGGCATTCTCGAGAAATAAATTGTATAGAGAATAAAGGAGAAAACTGAATGAAATAAATCCAACCATTTAGAATAACTGAGCGTTAAA